ATATTTGTTCTGGTTCAGTGAGTTATTTTACGGGTATCTCAATAGGAATTGTGTTGAATCTGTGGATTGCTTTGGGTAGTATGGTCATTTTAATGATGTTCATTCTTCCTATCCATGAACACAGTGTATGCTTCCACTTATTTGTGAATTCCTCAATTCCGTGTTCAGTATCCTATAATTTTCTAAGTATAGGTCTTTTACCTCCTTGGTTAAACTTATTCTTAGGCACCTTATTTTTTTGTTGCAATAATAAATGGGATTGTTTTCTTAGTTTCTCTTTCTGATAGTTCATTATTGGTGTATAAAAATACCACCCATTTCTGAATATTAATTTTGTATCCTGCTACGTTACTGAATTCATTTATCAGTTCTAGTAGGTTTTTGGTGGAGTCATTAGAGCTTTCTATATACAGCATCGTGTCATCTGCAAATAATGACAATTTTACTTCTTCCTTTCCAATTTGGATGCCTTTTATTTCTTGTTCTTGTCTGATTGCTGTGGCTAGAACTTCCAGCACTATGTTGAAAGCGGACACCCCTGTCTTGTTCCTGATATTAAGGGAAAATTAGATTTGCCCATTGAGTATGATGTTGACTGTGGTACATTCAGTTTTTATTTCAAGTTTAAACTATGTAACTAGCAATTCAAATAAGAAGTCTCTGTCAGAATAATTTAATAACTGGTATTTAATTGCAATTCTAAAATAGCCATATACATATAAAACTATGTTAACAGTTTGTTTCCTGATAGTTTAATATGCCCGTAAATTCTAATTTTTCCTGAACACATACTCAGTAAACTTTTTAGGTTATGTGAATGTAAACTGACCCAATGTGTTTTTTTTCTATTCAGATGATGCAATAAATTCACAGGCCATGAATACCCAACACGGTGGGAAGGTGCTCTGTCCCAGGCAATAATGGTGAATTAGCCATGTGTCAGACGAGGCCATGGATTATCACAGGCTAACTCTACTGAACTGTTAGACCATTTTCTCTGTTCCCTGCACTCCCATCAACAGTTGGATCTGCCCTCCCACAGCACTTAACCGTTCATTTTTATTTTAAAGTATTTCATCTGCTTTCTATCATTTATTGTTAACTTACGACACAGCTCCCTCCCTTCTAGAATGCAAGTGATTTGAGACAGTGACTCTAACTTCCTATTTCTCATGACAGTCCTAAACGATAAGGTACTATGAGTATTTCCATCTTACAAATGAAAAAACAGACACAGTGAAGCTCAGTAAGTGGCCCAAAGTCAATCAGCTTGTTAAGTGACAGCCAGAAAACGAACCCAGACACTGTGGCTCTAAAATCCGTGCTAAATCGCCTTCTGATCTCATGTGTAAAGAGAGAGAGGTTTGTCATCTAGTATTTCTATCTGTGCTTTATATTATTCTAGGTTCTTATAAAGTAGCACAAACTCTACTGTCCATTACAATGCCTTCTATCTATAGGACATGTATAATACTACACAATTAATCACTTTCCCCCAATCAATTTTCTGAAAAGTAGGTTAGGTATTTTTTCCTGAGAAAATTAGGCCTTCTAAGTAGGTGTCATAAAGAATGTAGAGTTTCAAAGCAGACCTCTTGGGTTCAGATCTTGGCTCTGCTATTATTGTCTGGCCTTGGGCGCAGTGTTTTCTGCTCTGATTTCTTCATCGGTGAAACAGGCGTGAGACAGTCCCTATCTCAGGGTTGTGAAGATTAAATGATACAATTCATAAAGCACTTTAGACACACGTGGTGTTTCATAAGGGTTGCCAATGATTTGAGTGACTTCCTTTCAAAATACAGAAATGTTTTTCAAAATAATCATGGTTTTGGATGATTTTCACTCAAAGAATTTTCACTCAAATTCTTTGTGAAAGTAACAAAGCATCGATCAGACAAGTTTCTTCTATGTTCTGGTAGCGTGGCTGGTTGTGGTGAGCATCTCTCGGGAAATCTGAAGTGACTTGATGTGACCTCGGCTGTCTCATCTTTCTAAAATGAAGATGTCATCGAGTCACTCTCCCTCATAAAACCTGTCACGGCCCCTCCTTGCATTTGGGATATATCCGACCACCGTGGTGGTCAAGATCTCTGATCTGATCCTGCTTCTCTCTCCATTCTCTCTCCTTTGAATTCTTGGTGTAATTTCCAGAACGTCCCTTGTCATTTCACCCTTGTGGGTGCTTCTCTGCCTCGTGAATTCCGTGTTTTGCGTAACATGCAGGGTGCCCCTCATTTCCAGCACCTGCTCTCCCTCCCACCAGCCGGGCTCCGTCACTCAGACCCACTCATCCTCGTGGCTCAGGTCCAGCCTCATCGCCTCCAGGATGAGGGAGGTGTCCTTGGCCTGGGCCGCCAGCACACTCTGTATGTACTCGCCCTCTCACTGCAATTCCAAGTGTTGGTTTCTGGGCTCACCCCCCCCACATGCCTGCGAGCTCCCGGAAAGTGGGCAAGATAAGGTGCTTGACAGGTATTTGCCGACATGCCTGAGTCCGTGGGAAAAGTGGCTCCTTGAATGAGAACTGCATGACATTCATCTTGTTACTCCCACCCCCGGCACGGTGCCTGGCCCATCAGTGGTGTCCCACACGTGCTTGTTGAATGGGACAATACCTGCAAATCTGCCACAGGATGGCCTGTTTACCCTGGGATTGTGCATAACAACATTATCAGCTACCTGGCATCCAGAGAGAAGTTCAAAGATATGTACTATATGTGAACAAGTGCACGAGGATATGATTTGACTCAGTGTCACCGAATGCCGCCTCAGGGAGGTCCACAGCGCCTGCCTCTTTCTAAACAGTGCCTGGCCAGTGAGCTGGGTGACGGGAGCACGCTGCTGAGGCGGGGAGGCCGCAGCTGGGCGCGTTCGGAATTCTCCAGCGGCATTCTGCCCAACAGATACGAACTGCGCCCCAAGAGGGATGGGAAATAAAGGTGCAGCTGCTAGAGAAACCTGCCAAACTAGGTGGTTCTCAGTGGGGGCAGTTCTGCCCTCTAGAGGACATCGCGAAGTTAAGTGGGTGCATCTTTGGCCTCAGCGTTTGGGGCTGGGGCAGGTGTGCTGTGGGCGTTCATTGGAGAGATGCTTCAATACAAAGGACAGTCCACCCATCAAAGACCTGATGTCCCTCTACTTGACTTTGGAGTGTCCCACTCTTCCTTTCGGTGGAACCACCTCATTCCCTTTCCCTATAAGGTAATATTTGCACGGCCTTGATAAACACTTTGTTTTCCAGCTAGCTAGCGACTGTGCACATCCACGAGGATCAAACTTTTTTGTTTGGAAAAACCGCATTCAAGGCGGCAGCACAGCTGTGGTGTTGAGGTGCCCGTCTGGCAAACCTGCATCGGTGTGGATCTGGAACTGGCATGTCTATGGCTGTGTGAGGGGTTTGCACCTGAGTCCTTTGCTTGGTCTGCTCAAGCCATTACATTTTGAAGTCAATTACTTCTCCTTTCTATTTGCCATTAGGGGCATTGCACTGATTTTTTAAATTATGTACATAGGATGAGTAATAGTATCTACGAATTTCACATTAAGACAGTTCACTGGTTGTCACAGGGTAATTGTTCTGAGAGAGCTCACTGGGTCCAGCAGAGTGGACGCTCACTGCCTTGGAGAGCGGGGCTGGGCCTGGTGCTCTCTCTCCGAGGCTTCCGTGCACACAGGCATCCAAACCTCGGGGCAGGGCTTCCCTGGATGTTTGAATCCGGTTTTGCACAAACCCCTGTGCTGACTCCCTGTGGGGCCCTGGGCAAGTTACTTCGCTTCTCTGTGCCTGTTTCCAAATCTGTTAAATAGGATAAAATGTGTTAGTGCCGGTGAATATTTACAGTAGCGTGTGGCTCACAAGAGCCCGGGTAGATTAACTTAAAAATCCGACAGGAGCGACACCTAACAAACATAGACAAAGCCGGTCTGAGGGCACAGGCGTGTCCCAGAGCCTCTTCTCAATGTCCCCCCTTTTCTGTCCCGCCTCTCCGCTGTCCCTCCTTCCCTCCGCCCCTCTCCCTTCCTGCTTTTCCTTCTTCCTTTCTTTCTTTTGTTCCCCATTATGTGGCTAATTTGGGCTGTTGGAAGGCAGGCCCCTTTGAGATGCAGGAGAAAGCAGGAGACTGGAAACCAGAGCCCCTTGGCCATTAGACTGGGCAGAGGCCCAAGATCTAAACTTCGTTCAGAGGGGCCCAAACCACACTCTTAGGTCAGAGTTTGCCTCTAACTAGCGGTATCTAAAAAGAGTCGCTAAGGGTGACCTATGATAGTATGAGCTCATATAAACCTGGGTTCCCCATCAGTACCCCCAGGGGCCAGGCAGGTAACAGCTGAGGGAGACGGGCCAGGCAGGAGGCTGGCAAGCAAACACCAAGGCGGAAAAGGGCCGGCCCGACCCCGGGCAGCACAGGGCCCTCTGTGCCACGTCTCCTGGGGGTCACAAGAAGCCAGAAATCCAGAAATAGCCCAACACATCTGAGGGTGCATGGAGCCCAAAGGCTGGCACTCTAGAAAAATCCATTTCCTTCACTGCTTTCCAGGGCCCAATGCAGGAAATAGCTTTTTAATGTAATACAAAATCCATGTAAGTTTTTTTTTAAATCCTCGCCAGAGGATATTTTTTCCATTGCTTTTCAGAGAGAGTGGAAGGGGGAGAGAGAGAGAGAGATCGATGTGAGAGACACATCAATTGGTTGCCTCCCACACGTACCCCAACCAGGGCTGGGGATCGAGCCTGCAACCGAGGTAGGTGCCCTTGGCTGGAATCATACCCAGGATCCTTTAGTCCACGGGCTGATGCTCTAACCACTGAGCAAACTGGCCAGGGCTAATGTTTTTTTTTCCTTTGCATTTCAAAGTAAAGATATTTCCTTTTATTGAATAGCAAAGAGATAAAATGAAGTGCTTTGATCTAAAATTTCAACTAGATTTCCCAAAAACAAGTATTTTATTTATTCTAACCCAGCAGGATATATGCCCAAATATGTAGTCATCAGACACGGAATTCAGTGACATTTACGATATGTAATATTAGATGATTATAACCAGTAGCTGGACTTGAAGCTCCACAGTTAACATTAACATAAAAAATTACAGTGTGACTACTAAATAATTAGTACCGTCAATGTGGTAAATCCATTAAATTAGAAATCTTTACATTTGTACATAACTCATTTTACATATAAATGTTTTAAGACCCAACTGTCCAACTTTCATTTAAACACAAAATATTGCTGAACAAAAAGTCTGCAATAAATATTCCCTCGGGTGGGTGAGGGGAATGCTTTAACATACGATCTGTGTTACAATGATATCTGAGTAAATATTTAAAACTCTAAACACCTTCTGTGGTTATTGAAATCTTGTAGTCTGAAAAAGCTCTTATATCTTAAACACAATTTAGTTATTAATTTAAAAAGTAACTGTTTCTGACTATGCTAATATTATTCATGGTTAGGTTGCTCCCAAAATCATAAATAGGTTGTTCACCGTCCCTTCCGTTTACTTATTAGTTAATTCTTTTAAGTGAACCTTCAGTAATTACAACCAGGTACTTCCCTTTGCTTATTTATGAATATATTTGTATTATAACTCACTAAACAACTTATAATGAAAAAAGAACATGCAGACCTTTCCTGAACAGTACAGCCAAGTTGTCCAATAAAATATCTCCAACCCGTTTGCAACTTTAAAGTTGAACTGCTGTATATTTTGAATAAAAGCATAAATTGAAATGTAACGGTCACCATGTTTTCAAAGCCAGAAAGCAACTATCTAACACAGTCATTCTGTGATTGGAGCCAGGAACCTTAAGACTAGAAAGTGTCGTGTTTTCCCAGCACTCTCATCACGACATTGCTGGGCCCAAGGGGAGTTTCCTTGGAAATATTTGTGGCAATGGTGGCAGTGCCCCACCTGTCTGCCCTGGTGCTACGTGGCAGGTCTGCGGCTGGGGCCTGTCAACTGGAACTGAAGTCTGGACAGGTCTTACCAGGCAGTGGGGGCTCCTGCTGGAGTGGGTAAGCAAAGTATTGGGGTGACACCAGGAAACCGGACGGCTGGGTCAGGTGGATTGGGTGGCCTGTGGTATAAGGCGGGGGCGGCGAGGGCACCAGGCAGCCTGGCTCTGCCCTGGCGAAGGAGAACCTTCGGATGGAGCCCCCTGTGGAGCTGGAGCTGGTGGCTGTGCTGGACTGCCTAGAAGGTGCTCTGAGGTTCGTGGAGGTCAAGATCATGGGCAGGGTCTCTGTCTGATAGCTGCGGAGTGAGAAGCGGATTGGCTGCTGGGAGGGCTCCTTGGGTCTCAAGCAGGTGCAGCAATAAATAGCCACTAAAGAGCCCAGGATGATGAAGGCGATGAAGATGGAGCCGACAATCAGGAAGGGAACGTAGACAGGCTCTAAAAGGCAAAAAAAGATATTAGACAGATGCTGGGATAGGGGTCTCCCAAACTCTGGGCAGCTCAGGGGCGGGGGTTCTGGGGCTCAGTCCTACCACTGGTCAGCCCAACTTCTCAGAGCTTGTTACTGGTAACTTCTACTGTGCAAACCGTGATAAGGGAATATTCTTGCTCCTCGTGGGGAGGAAGGAAACTGATACTGTAGCCTCTGTTAACAATTAGCCAGCATGTTGCACATCTGGAAGTCAGAAGGAACACACTCTATCCTGTTCACACACCGAGGAAAGGAAATGGTGAGTTTTTCTTGGTTACTGTAACTCTGGGTTTAAATCCGGGTTTTAGTAGTTTTATCACGGTGGGGCATTAGGGCTTTGACCCATATCTGAGGCTGAAAATCCATCTCCCACCCCAGAATCTCCAGTCTAAGCAAAGAGAAGTAGGCCTGTTAAATGAGACTCTCAGGAATTTACCAGACTATGGAAAGAACAGTATGAAGAAACCCATAGCGGGCCCCAATTAACTGTCTCCTAATGCATCACAAATGGTCATCTCTAGATGCTTCCAGAAACAATTTGGGATGCCTACTCCAGCTGCCACACGTCTGTCTCTTGACTCCCACTCCAACTCTGCAGAGGTTAGGCTGGACCTTAGATCCTGATGCAATTATTTGTGTGACAACATCCCTTGGACAGAGCAAACCCCAGTTTCCTTGTCTGTCCATAAGGCAGACTTGAAATTCCCCACCCAGAGGCACCCCCTGGGCAGCTCTCCCTGTCTCCCCTGACTGACGGAGCCGCACACTGTGCGCAACCTCCGGCTTAGAAGAAAGAAAACCTGCGTTGTCAAAGGCCCTACCTTTTTCATCCGTCATCTGGAGACCCCGTGAGGTGGGCATGATAAGGTCTATTTTCCAGATATAGAAACGTATCAGAGAGGCTTTTACTTTCTCAAAGACGGTGAGAGACAGGGAACATCAACCCCAGAGTTCTGTGGGCTCCTACCTGCAGGCTCTTCAGTGGACCACCCATTCCCCAAGGTGCGCGACACCCTGCGGGAGGCGGGGGAATGACTGACACCAGGCCCGAGCACCGTGCGAAGCCTCACACACGCCCCTGTAGTCCACAGCCTAACTCTGAGTCACATGCCCGTGCAGAGCTGAGGAGAGGCCAGAGCAGTTAAGTAACTGGCCCAAGGTTACACAGCTGGGCGGGGAGATTTGCCAGGTCCCAGCCTCAGGGAGTGCGGACACTGCGCCCTGTCTGTGCCCCCCAGCGGGCTGGGGAGGAGACCCCACTGTAGGCGGGTCACTTACACTCACTCTTTGGAGAGCAACGGGGTCCTCCAAGGTGAGAGGAGTCTTTATTTCTCTAACGGGCCACGACTGCCTAGAGTTTCCCACTTTCCGCTGTTCATCTTTTCTCCAGTAGCCGCTTCCCAAATCCTCTAGGTTGGCTATTCTGACCTCCAAAGTTAAACTTGTTGAAAGTCTCATAAAATTCTGAGGAAGGGCAGGCTCCCCTTTCCTCTGGGTTACCCACCCGTCCGTTGGCGGGATGGGGGGGGGCTCCAGCACCATGAATTCTCTCTCCCGCCTCGCCGGCCACGCCCGTGACCTCTCCGGGCTTCCGCCCTGCGCGCTGGGGTTCTGGGGTGTCGGGCTCTCGGCTCCGCCCGCTCCTCCGGTTTCCCGGCCGTAAAACCGTTGCCTAGAGCTCTAAAGGGTTTCCCTGATGTTCTGACTCAGGTGAAAAGCTCTTTCTTTTTTTTTTTTTCCTAACGCGTAAAGTTCCTCCGCTGGGTCGTGATTTATTCCGCTCTGAAGTGAGCGGAAATTTGACCCGTGTTTTCCGACGTGAGAATAGGGGGCGGGCAGCCCCTGCGACCCTGGTTTCTAAATCTCCACCTCGAGGACTTGGACATTTCTGAAAGGCGTGACAATAGGGGGTGGGCTGCAGAGGGTAATTCGATGCAGAGAAATGAAAGGAAGTCGGAAGAATGGAACAGCGGTTTAGAAACGCTACCGAAAGACCACAAAAGAAAAAAAGTGGCTTAAGTTCCCCAGCCCTGCGGTGCTGCGGCCGAGCGCGCCCCGAGAGCTGCATTCCCTGCGCCTTCGGCACCTCCAGGAGCTCCCGGGGTGATAAGGGCGCGCAATGAGGGGCCCTCATCACCCCGAAACCCCAGTCCAACCTAGTGGCTGCCCCCACAGCCCGTCTCTGCGACCTCCCGAGCGCCGGGGGGGTGCCAGCTGTCTTCTCCAGTCCCGCGGTGCCAGCCTCGCGGTCCTCCCGGCCCCCTGCAAGCTCTCCCTTGGCCCGACCCGCGAAGACCCCGAGTAGCGGGAATCGGGGCTGCAAAGGAATCGGGCCCCACGCCTGAAGCGCGAGCACCCACCCCCTCCCGATGCCGCCACCGCGCTGCGTCCACTTTGCGCAGACCCGGGAAGCCCGGGGCGCCTTC